GATACAAAAAAGGTTATTCCTAAATCATTTTCCTTAATAAAACTAGGGACCTAGTTACTAACTTTTGCAAAAGTGTTTGTTCAACAGTATTTTTCTCTGGCTTTTTTAACTTGTTTCTATAAGTGTATATTTATTGCACTTTTTTGTAATTTTATTATTATAGAAAAAATAAAAACTGACTTTTGTTTTAATCACTCCATTAAAATCATCCATGTAGTATTGTTGTTGAAATTAATGTCAATTTTTGTGTGTCTCCAATATAAAATAATGAAAAAAAAAAAAAAAAAAAAAAAAAAATACATTATTAACCTATACCCTAAGAGCACAATTAAAAAATCTTTTCTCCTTTTCTAAAGAAAAGTGTTGGTAACATGAAGAGTATTAATGTAAACAAATATATTAATTACACCTTTAAAAAACACACATTAACCCATTTATTAAACTTAAAAGCTTACCTCAAAGGTTCTTTTTAAAAGATACAAGAGGGAAAATTAAGCACAAATACAAACTCTTAAAAGCCACCCTTTGAGAGTGCAACAAATTGAGTTGAAACCCAATTCCTCTATTTGCTATTTAAATACCTAGTGCATAACCAAACTGAATAATTAATTTGGGGTAAACTACATGAATTGTCACACTCAATTTTATCATACCTTTCAGTTTAGTGACTTTCTTTTAAATCTGTAAATTCTCACCAAACTTTAATTGAACTTTCTACCATTTGTCTCACTGTCTACCATACTATTTTTGTTGCCCTGTTTAGAGATGTCTCAAATTGTTAAAAGATTGAGATTTTAAATTGAAAATCTAGAATTTAAACTTTGAGATGGATAGAGAGAGTAAGGGATAAGAAAGACTATCTTTTGTTGTATAACACATTATTTAATATAAAAAACAAGAATACCATTTTTGATAACAGATAATGTGGCACATGTCAAGAAAAAAGTGATTACATGGCAGCTACATGGAAAAAAAAATACAATAATTGCCAAATATATATATATTAGCATTTACTTATCTTACCTATTTCAAATTAAGAGGAAAGTTACTATAAAACTATATCAATACAATAAAGCACTATGTACCAAAAAAACAAATACAATAAAGCACTACCAAAAAAAAAAAGCCTAAAATAGTTTAATTTGCATTTTAAAAATAAAATATTTTAATTATTTTCAATGAGAATTTATTAATAAAAAATAATTTTAAAATAATTTGCTCTTAATTTTTAATAAATAAACCAAACGAACGCTTTTCAAAAAAAAAAAATATTGGCCGCAAAATAAATACATAAGGACCTTACCACAAGTTACTAATTGGCCTAACAAGTTTTGAAATCTCTTAATTGCAAAATCAATCGTAAAATATTGGACACATGTAGTGAATCCATCGTAAAATCTTGCAAACATGTGGTGAGCCCCTTCGGAAAAAGTTCACAATCACATCGGCCCAAAAAGTCGTAAATATAAACTTTCTTTTTTTGGCAGTCAAATATAAACTATTTAAAAATTTTAGTTTTACACATTATTTGCTCAAAATATTTAATTCTCCCTTTTGACACAGCTCAGTACCAACTAAACTAGGAAAATCTAACCCTCAATTGTAAATTATTTAAATAAAATTATTTTTACACTTTTTTTTTCTCAATTATATTTACCTTTTGCTAGGTCTAATTTTGAGATAATTTTTTTTTTTTACTGGAGATAATTTTTTGCGAGGGGAAATTGGGATTAGGCCAGGTGAATTTCTCCATGGCAACCACCTAGTCTAAGGCCTGGGCTGATATATAAGCTTCTTCTAAGAATATTGTACAAAACAGTTTTTCCCACAAAATACTATTTAAAAATACATATTCATCATAAAAAATTTTAATTAATATTTTATATTTTTAAGATTATAAAAATAAAAATAAAATTACATTAACAGTACGACCCATCTCGTCAAAATCCCAAATGATGCAGCAGTTATAAATTTTTTTAATATTTACTCAGACGACAAATGTACAGAAATGGATACAAAATTTTTTTATATCAAAGTCCTTTGGCCAGCTCACATCCATATAAAGAAAACAAAAAAAGTTTGAAAACGGCCTTTGACGAAATAATCTCATTTTTCATACATGTTCAAAATCATTTTTTAGCCTGCCATACAGTTTAATACATCGAGTCACACCTTTTGCTTACCCCTTTCTTACACTGAACTTTTTTTGAAGGGGTCAAACATTACAACCTTCAGAGCTATCCACCCTCAGAAAACATGTCAGCAGAAAGGATAAAGAAGAGAAAAAAAAATGGGCTCTCTTACTTCTGTACCAGATTCTGAAGTTTTTTTAATATATTAAAAAGAAAAAGGCGTGGATTCCTCTGCATAAGAATTAACTTCATGAACTTTCAACCGTGCACATATCTTAGAATCCTGCAAAAAAAGAGTAATCGGCGTAAAATATACATCTTGGTTTCTAACAGTGTTCAGACTCAGAACTTGAAAAAAGTTTTAAGTTCCTTTTATTTCATTTCCCATGAAAGCAAATCTATGCCGCAATGCTTTAACTCCAACTGTTCTTAAATAACAAGAACGTAGATTTTCAGGGGAATACTTAGGGCAAGGATTCCCTTCCATTCTTGGTTGTGGGCTCAAAGTATCTCTACAGGCTACAGCTGAAGAGTGTTATGAGATCTTATGACTTAGAAGAATAGCTGTGGTTCACTAAGAGAAAGACAAACTCGACAGGTTTCACGTGAAAATGAAACTATATGCTTGGAAATGTTAAAATTAAATAAACTAAAATTTAATTAATGATGGCTTAACTATATCAGAGATTAGTAATTACAAAGAATTCTACCATTATTCATTTCTAGCATATTCAAGCGTATCAACTAAAACTAAATTAAACCAATTTTGAAAGTAGTAAGGAACAAGGGCTTTGAATCTTGAATCTCCTCTTCAGAAGAAACATCTAACCAATGAGGCTATAATCTGGCCATATGTACTATTTAGGACTAGAGAGGTGAAAAGTATTCCAAGTTATATTACATAGCATGAATGTTGCAACTGAAACTGTAACTTACCTAATGAGATAGTATAAAACTATGAAGCCAACCATGAAACTTGTGACAAGTGTACACATTCTCTTATTGGATTTCTTTTCAAATACCTAAGGAGAAGCCATGCCAAAATATTGGGCCAATTTCGAGCAGCATGAGGAACTAAAATAAAATGAACTCAAAATCAGAAAGCAGGACCCTATTCTGTTTGGATACCTTCTTGAACCGATCCATGGTGCCTGACATTATACCTCTTGTTGCATCCATGTTGTTGCCCTGGTTTACAACAAAATCCATCAAAACAAGAAAGCAAAGCATATTTCAAACAAAATTGAAAGTTCAAGGCTAGATTGCCACTTATGCACCATTTTGTCAAGCAAGCGATTATGGCTCTCTACCTCCTCATGTATATCACCAGTTAACTGTAAGGAACCATATACATATCAAAATTTGCTCAAAAAGAGTTCAACAAACCACAAATTTCAAGTAATTAATTTGTTCATTCATAAAATTGACCAACATGGAAAATAAGTGCATAATCAATATTAAATTATCATCACAGAACACATTGCATGCTTTCTTTGAGCCAACAACTCAGTAGCCATACTAGAGCAATCATGCCAGCAATTTTCTGGTGCTTTGATCACTGGGTGGTTAAAACTTACAAGTGCCACTGGACTATTATGATTCTCAAGGATACCAGGAAAGGAGGTACGGAATAGAAAGTCATTATAAAAGTCATAAGTCAATCCGTGCAACACTCTAAGCTTAAGCAAAATTGAGAATCTAGAGTACTCGACAGGCTATCACATACTCATTGATGGCTTAATACTATAGAGAAAACTGCAATAAAGTGAACTAACTCTAAAAAACTGATCTCCTTCAACTTTATCAAGATGACAAACTAAGAAAAAGACTATACAGAAGCTCACTCATCATGCAACTTCAGTCTTCCATGCATAATTGGGAAGTAGGCAACATAAATATGTTACCATCCAGAAAATGGTCAAGATTCACATTTCACATCTTCCTAGTGACTCATCCTAATTGCCTACCACACAAATAGAAAAGGAAAACATCTAAAGCATGTTCATAGGATCATAGTTCAACCTAGGTTGAAGCCTTTAATACTAATTTAAATAGCAATTTGACAAGAGTTTGAAATAAACAAATCATCTGAAACAGAAGCTACCCTCTTCAGAAAAGAAGCTCTGTCCTGCAAACTGTCTAGAGCTTTGTCATTGTCATGCTCTTTAACTTCACCGGAGTATGATGCAGAGGCCCTGAGACCTCCTTCCTCAAGGCTATCAAATCCATCAAACAGGGCTGATCTGGAAGCACGGTGCTCCCTACACAAAGATTGATCATCAAGCCATGATTTTAAAAACCGCAAGTCTAATCAACACGCATTGTAATTATGATGCTGAAACACCTATTAATCCCGACAACTTAACCAAACAAAGTCCAAAAACTTAGAAATTTCCAGCAACAGAATGTATATATTGATGATTGATCCCAACAACTCAGCAAAAATTAATTAACAAGCTGCTGCTGCTGCTGCAAACATAATCTTCACTGATCTCAATCCTCAAGCAAACCAAAATCGTCTAGACACTGGAAACTCGAAGCAATCCAGCCTCATTTCATCGGCAACGGGAAACATATTTCTCAGATCGCTAATGATTTCAAACAAGAAAATGACTACAAAATCCAGGAAAAACTAACTCAATGATTTTGTCGAAATCACATTGATGAGTGTATGCAATCAAGAAACCAACGATCTGTAAAATTGTTGAGATGGAGTCCCCGGACATTGGATACTTACCTTCTGTAGGTCGTGCTCTCCATTTCCACCGCTTCTTCGTTTCGTTTCAGGTTCGAAAGGAACGAGAAATTTTCGTTGAGGAAAAAAAAAGAGGGAAAGAAAAAACCAGAATTGCAGAAAAGATTTTTCAAGGAAAATGGAGGAGGAGAAAGGGGAAGAAAATCAATGGAAATTAATTTCATATTTCGCTAAAAAAAATTAAAAAAATTAACATTGGGCTGCAGGCCTGCACATTAGGGGAACCTGGGCTGGGTTTCTGCTTCCAGTTTTCACGATTTTTTGCTGGGCTGGGCTATTTTAAAATTAATCAATTCAGGCCTTTTCTGTTATGTAAAGAATCCGTTTTTTCGTTGTTTCTTGACTGTTCGAAAGAATCCTTTATCTGCCTCTTTTTTTTTTCATATTTTATTTTTAAAATTTTATTTAAATTAAAGAATTTTGTACCGTGAAAAATATTAAATTATCATGATTTTTACATATTAACCATTTTTTTAATAGAGACAAAACACATCATAACTTTAAAACTGATTAATTTAGAATTACCCAGATACATATTAATCAATTTAAAAATAAACAAGTTAAAAAATACATCTACTAATCTTTCTTAAGTTCAATGCAATAAATGGTTGCCCTTAACCGAAAACATAAATTTAATATTATACACAAAAGCTAGTCATAGACTCAACAAAAATAGCTGAGGGTTAAAGCACTCCCATGTGGCCTAAATGGTAACGTTCTTTTTGTGAGAAGTAAGATAGAGCGCAACATATAATCATCAAATCGATTTATCTGCTAGTACTACCGGTCGAACAGATACTAACTTACTAACCATATTTTTTATAGTAAAAAATAATAATAATAATAATCGAGGGTTAACAGATAATTGATCCAAACAAGGTGCCTCTTGATTTTTTTTTTTTTTTCCCTAATTACTGAGATCCAACAACAATTTTGAAATAAACTGAAAGATCCAAAAGGACTAGATAAAGCTGTTGAGGTCACAGTAAATGGCCTTGTTTAATGTCACATGATAGTCACCAGTTTTCCTTGTTGGATGGTGCTGAGCATTTAATAATCTTGTTGCAGAGCCTCCTACCATCATCATTCATCATCCTTCCTCATATAAACACTCCTGTCCTGATTTCTTGCTTCCCCATCCAGAGATGCCAAAAAGGAAATTGCTCAGTTTCACCATTTCCCTGCTGCACACTAAAAGGCCCAGTTGACCTAAGGATTTGGTTGATTGCTGCAGAAAAAAATGCTTTCTTGAGCAGCCATAATGTGTGTTCTGAAGCACTTTCTCTGCTCAAGACAGTACACACTGTAATGAAAGGCTCAAGAGGAATGAATCCTATTGGACAAAAATGATGCTCACTGGTCAAGACAAGATGCTTCCATGTGCAACAATCTCCTTCTCTTCAAATCATATCACAAGACACAAGCTTTAGAATGTCAAATTTTGAGGGTACCTTCAAGAAAACAAGGAAATCATACAGGGACAGAAACATGCTGCTGAGTCATAATGTCTACTCAATACTACTATATCATGCTAAAATATGATGCACTGATGTCTATAGCATATGAAAGAACAGCCCCTGCTAGCCAATAAAACCGTTTTATGTCCTTCCCTATGATATACTGGTAAGTTCATTGTTTCATTTGAATGTATGGATTAGAAGATTCACCAAATCCATAAGCAAACAAGTGCTAACTACAAGGTCTATAAGAATAAGAAATGCCCAGCACGATGCATGAATATGCCCAAGAGGGGGACTAGAAGAGTGAGATGCTTCTTGAACGAACCAAGTAGACCAATGATTATTACACGTAGAACTTGTGATAAGTTCATAAAAGAAGGTCCTAATATCAGATAGTAAATAAAAGAGAATAAAAGATGATACTTACATGTGGAAGTGACAGCCTCTTGGAGTCGACACAGAGTGGCCATTTGTTGTTGACTAAAAGAAGAGGGATCCACTTATTTTCAGGGGTGCACAAAAACAATGATGATCCCTTTTGCATGCTCTGGACACTCAATACTTGGCCATTTACCTTCACTTTCCTTGCTTTAAGGACCATGCTCCTTTTTAGAAACACTACTTTGGAACTGATAATTTGGTGCAAATCAAATGATGGAGCAAACTAGTGGAATTGTAGGTAAAGTATATATACAGTAACAATAGTCATAGACTATTAGCCTACCCTAAAATGGTGCCCGAATGAATAACGACTAAAAGAAAAGAACCATCAGCTATATCATTGCCAGTTATCAAAATTATATGCATTAAACTATAAAATGAAGTAGTTCATCACATGCTAAGGAAACACTAGAGAATATATCACATACAATGGTACATAGACACAATCAGTTTAGAAGAAAGATATTCTATATCAATTACTTGGAATTATATACTTCATTAATCAAAATCTTCCCGTACCTTGAAACTAAGTACATCAATCAACCCTGAGTTTCCATTACAAAATGCACTCTCATGGACAGCTCAGATATTCACTACCCTGTCAAACTGTCATCCATGTCTTCGGATGAGTATGAGTGAAGAAAAATGCTATACCAGGCTAGAAGCCTCTACAGGTATACAAATTCAACAATGAAATCAATTAAGGTAAGAAGCTTGACATTGCAACTGCCACTCCAAGCAGTCCTCAAAATCAAAACTGCTTGCACAATCCAACAGTGCATTTTGCTGATGCTCGTAACGACATATATAGTTCAATCCAACAAGAAGCTCACAGATGGCTGCTTCTGTTTTTTCCCTATCAGCCAAATACAGTGTCTGGATAAGAAGAACATTTGTGCGAGTCAAAATCTGCTGCTGCTCAAAGTTACGTTCACTTTGCCATCGGATCATGTTATGTGCCAGAGGAGCGAGCCACCTCAGTATTCCATCAAGTATCTCTTTCCAATCATGAGCCAAAGGAGCATCATATATAGCCAAATTCTTAAAGTAGGACTTGAGATTAGTCCTCAGAGACATTCTCAAACTTGTTGGCAACATGTGATACAAATCATCCCTTGCTTCTTCACCAACTAAATGAGGGTAACGGAGCAGCTTCTCTATGACAATTATCACATTTGCATAATGCAAGGCAAGAGCAGAGCCTCCCACAGTGGATGGAGAAGCATAAACTGATAAGCTACTTTTGGGACCAAATTGAGCATTATTCATCAAACCGCTAGTGGATTGTCTCTTATCTCCGGTGAAAGGAACACTAAGTTGGGACCGACAAAAAGAACGATTCCAGCATTCTCTCTTCAGCCCACCATTTCCAGAACCATCACGGTGCCACATTTGAGAACTTCTGTCATCACAAGCAATATTATCATCATCATCCACCCTTGAAACTGAACTGCTTAGACTAAGACAATCCATAAAAAGCCTCCCGGAACTAGTCCCACAAGGAAAATTAAAATCCCCCACTCTAAACATTGCTGCTTCAGCCTTGCGAGAATCAATTCGTGGCTTCAGGTTTGGCGCCTTTTTCTCTACCATAGTTCTATCTATGGGCCCTGAACGATACACATTGCTACACCTGCTAACAACCCGATTCAACGGTCCTGAAACCACTTGATCCTGCCCATAACGCCCCTCAATATTCTGGCCAGAAGCTTGCCCGCATTCATCCTTCATAGTAGGACAACAGGAACCTCCACCACTCAACCCAGCACCGTCCTTCTCCTTCCTCAAGGCAGAGTCCCCAAAGACAACATGAATTCTAGCAAAGATTGTACATACCGTTCTTGCCAACAACTCTACAACCTTATCAAAAGTCTGGCTCCAAAGCGAAATTTCCTTCAGATGCCTCACATCCTGCTTCTGCCAAACCAATTTCTGCTCGAAAGCCCTATGGCTCTCCTCATGCTGATTATGCTGAAACTTCTTGGTGGCTTGCTCTAGCTCATTCAAGACCTCCATTTCACTGTACAAATTCGCGGTACAATTCACATACCTCTCCATCTTTCTCACCATACCTTCCATGTCTTTCACCAAGAACCCCAACTCCCTCACATCAATAACGCCATTTACAATATCCCCATACACATGCTCAAACCCCTGCAGAGCGGGTTCACAGCACTTCTTACCCAACCTAGACACCACGCTCGCTACCCTGTTCAGTTCATCCCGCTTCTCAGCCAAAACAAGCTCCATAAGATAATTTTCATCAGAGGAAACCAAATTACAGACACCCTCCGACTTCAAGATCTCGTTCTTGAGCTTCGAGATCTCGGAATCGGTTAGAGACGTATGGAGGTGCACAGTTTTGGACATAACATTGGCGACCTCGAAAGAGAGGATACCAATGGTCTCGTGCTTCTTATTGAGGCCCTTCTTCTTCGAAGAATGTTCAAGAAGAAGTGCATGCTTCAGATTGGCGCTTACCTGGTTACCCATTTTCACTATCCAAGCTTCTACGACCATTGCTGCCTTCCAATTCAAGATCTGCAAAATTGGGTCCTATCGGGAACCTGAAGATTGATGTGGGTTCGTAAAAAAGGAAGAAACTTCAGCATCTACTGCGTAGAATTCAGCAGAGGAAAACTCGCAGGAGATAAGCAGAGAGAACGGAAGAAATTTGACAAGGTTTCATTTGAGGCAGTCTTTTGAAGGCGCAGAAGAGTTTACAGTTCAGCGTGTTTGAATTAAGGGGCTCCGTATTTGAAAGGAGCAAAGAAGTTGTTTGATTTTACCATATTAACCCTCTTAAAAAATGGTTTTACTTTATTAACATAATAGAGAAAATATATTGCAATTCAAACTATATTATAGAATACGATACTTATTATTGGATTGGATGGAAAGCGTACCGTCTAATATTATTTAATAATTTATTATAATTTGGATAGTAAAATAAATAACTTTAAAAACATATCAGGTAAAAATTTGAGTTCCTTACAAAATATCAATCATCAGGCTTTTTATTACATGAATATTAGAGGTAAAATGCACTTGTCGCTTTAGCCGCGATGGTAGTGTACCAACGCCATTAGTTTCTTTGTCAAGGTTCAAGTTATAAGTGTAACAATATTATAACTACTTTTTTATCTTCAAATTTTTCACTGGTCAAAAAAAATTATTAGAGATAAAATACTAAATTTATGATTTAGAATATAAATAATTTAAATTTTTTTATTTATCCACTTTATGTTGTAAAAATTAAAAAAATATATTTAAAAATTATGTTATTTTAATAAAATATACAAAAAATGATAAATAAAATATTTTAATTCATATTTTAAGAATAAGATATTTTAGTTTTTTTAATAAAAATTTATTAAAATAATGTAATTTTAAAATAATTTTTTATTTTTAAAAAACAAAATAAACAAATTTTATTTTTAAATAATTTTATCACTAAATTATATAATTGATGATGAAAAATTGTTCTTAATATATCTTTATAATCATTTTTTTTTAACAATTTGTCAAGGAACGAATTCAAAACTCATCTAAAAAAAAAAGAAAAATACACCTCAAATTAATAAAATACCAATTGACCGAAGGACCAAGTGCTTATAATCATTTAAATTATATAATTTAGCTCAATCTAAATTATACAAAAATAATTTTAAGAAAAAACTCTTCTTTAAAAAATAAAGTCTAGCTATGGTAATTTATTTTGGACAAGTACACTATGAGGTAAATGAATGAAAAATTTTATTATAATAGTATTATATTTTGAATTTTAATTATTATTAAAATATTAAATACACTTCCCCAACTAATCTATAGAGGCTGTAGCTAATTATGGTATTTAACTGAGGCAATAATACCAAAAACAAAAATGGGTAATGGTACGATGGGACTGGTCGAGACATTCATTAAAAGTAGATTTATCATTAATATTCCAATAAATATCCCCCACATCGTAAAAGTGGGAAACTCATGAACAATGAGGGTATCATTGGGCATAAAACAAAGTGGGTTTGACCATTAAAATGTTGTTTTGGGTCAATCAAATCCCAGAACCACTTCTACCAAAAAAAAAAAATCCCAGAACCACACGTGCGAGAAGAAAAGTTTGACTAAAAACCGCAACGCAAATTCAGCCATTTCATACATGGAGCCAAGAGCATATCTGCCGCATTTTGTCCCATTCTAGAAGTGTCATGATTCGTTTGAACAGAAAATTTCAAATTGGGAGTTGAACTTTTAAGATGAATGTATAATTAACCAGGAATTTAACTTAATTGGTGGTGTATCTTACCTTCCTTAGCTCCGCTCCATTCCCTTCTCTCCCAATTTATAGCATGCTCTCATAAGTTAGTCAATATTAAGTTTTGACAAAAGTCAGAAGTTTTCAAAATCGTTTTGCACACTGTAAGATTAATTTTAAAATTTAATTTATAAATTACTATGTATATGTTGAATAGAAGTGCAAACAATATATATTATAACTAATAATGATTTTTTTATTAATTTTTTTATATCCAATAATCATATTAAATTTTAATTAATCTGAAATCAAGTCAAGTCACACGCTATTAAAAAGAAAAACTCTCTCAACGCCTGTTTCATCATTAATAATATACGAATTCAAGATTTTGTTTAAAAAAAATTAATTTTTTTTCAGTCGGACTAACGGATCGTTGGTAACTAATATGATTACATTTAAAAATGCAAAAATTTTTTTTTTGAGAAACACTTAAAAATGCTAAATTAATACAAATTTTTATATGTCATTTTTTAAAATACTGCTTTAATTTAGTTAAACTATTAAAAATAACTATAACTATTAGTTGATAGATGACAAAATTATTAATATTTATTATTTAACATATTAAAATCAATCAATAAATTGATATTTTTAAATATTATAATTGATTATTTATGAGAAAAATAGAAATATTTATATAATTTTAACACTTTTCAATGTAATCATAATCACACCTATTATAACTATATATATTTTTATTTTTTCTACCGGGCTAGCCAATAAGATTACTTCCCCTCCATGAAGGGAAGAAAGGAAGGTTTGAGGTATGATGTGTGGTGGGGTCTCCCTTTTAAGTGGTTCAGAAAAATGATAAAACTGTAAACTAGATTTTCAAAACTATAAACTAGATTTTCTTGCAAGTTTGAAGATCATTTTAGCTTTTGTCAATTTGTAGGAAAGATTTAGGTGCTAAATACCTGCTCCTCTTTCATTCCTTTTGCTTGGTGAGTACACCCCACCCGGCACTCCCATTGTACAAGTTGAACCTCTCCAACTACCGACTTTTTTTTTTTATGAAAACTTCTCATAAACATCAACAGTCGACTTATAACCCAAAAACTTTAAACTTGTTGAAAAACAGCCACCAATAATGTGGCCTTGACAATTCTCGCATGATGCTGCTTCAAATGCTGATTTTTCTACTTTTTTATAATAAAAAGAAACAATAAGGTAATATTTTTACAAGTGATTAGGAGAGGGGTTGTAATCGTGCATAGATATCTGAGAGATTGAATCCAAAATTCTTGCCTATCACAATCGCTGGCTTAGCACCAAGCCAAGATGTGATTGGCACCAAATTTTTCTGCTTTTGTTGATTGAAATGGCAAATGGCTCGATGATGTATATGAAGGGTTTGTTTGATTGGGATAATGGCTGCTACTTAATCAAATTATGAAATAAATTAAAATTGAAAAATTTTGTTGTAAGAAGTTAGAGATAATTAATTAAATATTAATATATAATTTTATTTTTATATTAATAAATAATCAAAAAAATATTTTTTTAAAAAAATAAAAATATATATTCTTAATTTATCCCTTACTTTAATAAAAAATTATTACCACCGATCAAACTTTATATAGAACCATCGAGCAGAAGAAGAGGACCAGATTCCCATGTTTATTTATGGCTGCTTTTTAATTCGTTTGGATGCCCATGTGGTGTTGTGCATGCATGCCCAAGTAGCATGCTCCTTTTTTCTCTTTTTTTTTTACTCTTTTTTGTTCTTATTTATTCGTTCATATTAATAAATTCCTAATAAACTCTACAGGTAGCTTTATTTTTATATGGTTTTATTTTTTGTATAACAAATGAATGGTAATTGAAATTTTTTATTAAATTTTTTTTTTCCTTTTACTCTTCTCCTCTTTTAATTGCTTTTCCATTAAAGAGAACATTATTTTTATTATTTTTGGCCATGCATTAAGGAAACATTATCATGAAGTTTCTTTTTTTTTTTTTTTTAATGTTTTTCCATCCTTTTGATGATTGCAGTGACCTTTCAAACCATTTACCTGTTTTTAATGTGTTCTTTCTTTTTTATTAAGAAAGAGATCTTAAATTTTGATTTTTTTTACATCAAATAATTACCTATTTAGTATATGACCTTAATCTCAAAGCAAGGTTTTAGATTATTAGATGCTAAATCGATTAGATTCTTATTGGTAGATCTTAATCTTTGATGGATAACCTCACATGCATGCATAACATGTTGTCCTCAAATGACAACTATGTGTGTACTTCATAGAACCTAGTCCATCAATATTCAATTTTTGAATGATACAATGAGAGTTTTTTTTTTTTGTTAATTTTCAAATATTAGTATTATATTAACAATATGTGTTTTTTCATGCTAGATTGCACAGATTATGAATTTATAAAAATGCTCTGAAACTCTTTTCCTATGCTAATTTATTATAAATATTTTAATAATTTCAATACCCAAACTATATTTTTATTATGCAATCTAAGCAAACATGAAATATATATATATATATATATATATAATTTGCACAAGCTAAGTAATGCCACCTAAACCACTTGCAAATATCATCTGCGGTCCCCTTGAGCCGTCCATCTAAGAAAAGAACAAAAATGTAGTGGAGAAGATACCTTTAAAAGTGGAGAAGACTAACTAAAAGGGATTATGTTGAAGTTATAATTTCCCTCCAAATTTTCATGTAAGTTTGCTTTTGGACTTACTTTCATAGGAGGAATAATGGAATAATATAAATTAGCAACAACAAGGCCGTTGGTTTTGCCCCACGGTTCACGCTTTTTTTATTAAAAAAAATTGAGGGTGGCGTATATTGTCTTTGTATCCTTATTTCTTTTGAATTGGAATAATTAGATTCATCTTTTGACTATTGATTAAGTGGCCATATTGTAAACCACTTTGTAGCTCGTTATCAAGCCGGAGTTTGTTTAATGCAAGACCCCTTTTTTTTTTTTTTTTTTTTTAATGTTTTTCCATC